TCTTCAAACACCTATTGTGAATGTTGTCTGGTCCTGTGGAGCTGTTTCGAAGTTGTTTTATGTGTTGTTTAACTTCTTCTACTTTGATTAACTTCCACTTGGTCGTGTTTGACGCTGTTATCTTTCCATGTCAGTTCAGTTGATGATACTCCTACCCACACCCTCAAGATGGTCTGGTCTTTCTACCATAAACTTTTCAGATCGTGCAATGGTAACGAAGAATCAAGAGTTATAATTTTGGAGAGGAACTGCCCTCCTCTATAAAGTGTCAGCCTCGTCAACCCTCTCTTAATCTCTCAAACTATTATTTTACTAAAACCATAAGGACTTGTGATGTGAATCTATATCCCAGCTATGATATTCAAAGTTGTGTGTTAGATTTCACTCGTCTGTTAATCATACCAAGTAATAATCAAACAAAAAGTGAAAAAAGAATATTGCATAGCTTAACTTTTCCGAAAGTTCAAATGCAAGCTATCCAACTTGCTCCGGCACCGTATAAAGTCGAACCGTACCAAGTTGCAAATCTTAAATTAAATCCATAAGGCGTAACATTTTCCGCCATCAATCCAACTCGAACAGAACCAGAATCTAACTAAGGGAATAGCCAAATCCAACCAGTTTTTGTGTGAAGAAAAAAACGCAATACTTGCGGAGGTGTCTATGGTTTCCAGTGCAACAATAACTTTAGGCGTCTGTTGAAATTTTTGAGGAAAAGTAACGTAGAATATCAAGCTGGTTTTAGTTTCAGATGGAGTTGAGGGTAGGTGTGGGTGTGGATGTGGCTGAGGAGAAGACAACACCCGCACCCATCCGATGTACCCGCTTCGATCTGGGTACGTACTTTTATTCTCACCCAAATTCTGGCATAAAAATAGAAAGGATTTTATTTGGTAACGTGCCTTTCGATTTCGTCGAAATCTAATTCTCATACAACACATGGGTATTAGTTCTGAATCTACGCAGAGAGACAATTATATTTGCATTGTTATTAAAGGATTTGTCTGAAAGGTGGCAAATAAAATCCCTATATATAGGCACCGATATGCATACTATTTTCATTCTCAAATAACGCCAATTCCATATTCACAGTTCATGCAGAAATTAGTGTGGTAGGAGCTTCATTATACTTCAGTTATTTCTATTTTTCTTTGTAACATGATGTTTAATATAGGTTTCATATTGTGCTACTTGTGTCGCCTTTGTTTGCAACTGCATATGACAAGCCGTCGAAATCTTCAGACCAGACACGTATGGTGAAGTCACCAGCTGTCGCACTTGCATTAGCACCATATGTTGGTCTCGCTGTGGCACCACCGGTTTATTTGGCTTTAGCTGCAGCATTCGGTGTGGCAACGTTGGCTTACTATGGAATCACTCAACTTAGTAGCAACTCGGGTGAGTCTCCGTCTTTGTCACCTACAGTAGTGGACAAAGGTCTTACTCTTAGAGAATTTTAGTCATTGTATACGTTAGAAGGAAGAAAATTTGTGTGCATAAACATTATCAGGAGTAAAGGTTAGAAACAAAATTCTATGTTGATTCTTTGAATATCAAAAGAATAATGATCTATAATACACTTTTATTGCCAAAAAAAGTTCTATTAGTCGAAGAGACATTTTTGATCAATTTTCCGTCCCTTTTGCAGACAGAATGGTTAATACACCACGTTTAGAAGTATACTTAGAGACCAACATAAGACTATTCTTTAGCTGCATGATAAATTATTTTGCTTGAATATTCGAGATTATTCAGATAATAAACAATCGTTGCATCGTCAACATGATGAACGCAGAAACGTTTTTTTTTTCCATCAATATGGAGCTAGTTAATAAAACTTGAACAAAACTAATACTCAACTGTGAGATAATGTTTAGTAATCCAACTTTGATATGACAGATATTAAACTGTACTTTTGTCTAAAAATGTCATAACATCATTTTCCTTCACATTAACTGTTAAAGTACAATGGCAGCTTTACTCTAAGAAACTTATGAACCTCAATGTACTTAGGAAGATGAAAACTTAAGTAAGTCGTCATATAATGAACTACTAACTGACCCCAAAAAACGTTTTATCAGAAATTATGCGGTTCAAAGGCTATATAGATTATATATGTACTCATGTATTTTGATTCGCTCGATAATGAAGGAATCTAACGAAACTATTCCTCTAATCTACACTCTGCATGATGTGTGTGCATAAATATTCAGAAGCTTACAGTTTTAATAGCTGAGAATCTCTAAACGTGAGGCTTTTATCCACCATTGCAACTTAATAGTGAAGACTGCTTTTATATTCATACACTTTCTTCTGATCGCATATATATAATCATTTATTCAATTATTAGGTTGTCCACCATGCCCAAAACCACGGCTACCACGTATCGATTATGTACCACCCTCAAGACCACATTATCCGTGTGTTGGTACTCACAAGCACTACTATGTAATGCACCAAAATCCGAAAACATGTAAATGCTACGAGGACGAAAGTCCAAATGTGGAGTGTTTGGAATAAGAGTTACAAATTTGACTTTGCCTCATCATAGAATACAAAATAATACATTTGCACGATCCTTTTCTGACGTGGAGAGAGAAATAAACATGTAAAACCATATGATGCATTATAGCGATTGCCGGGAAATTGTATGGAGAGACAGGAACGAACCAATTTCCGGAAATCCTTTTTCCTAATTTCCAGCCTTGGAAATTGGATAAGGACTTTGATTATGGATGGCCATAATGAGCATAATCGAGAGTGACGCTATTTTCGTGCTAGGATTTGAGATCAGGGGCTGTCCGAGGGTGTCGGAATAGCGAAACGTACAAGCCTGGAAATTATGACTAGCGATAGTCTAGATCTTGAGCGTGGGCTGACTTTCATGCCACAGAAAAAGAAGATAGGAGTGTCTGTGAAGATCTACGAAATTTGAGCTTGCGCGGGTCGTTTTAAAAATGTGCAAAAATGAAATTTTTATTTTGTTTTTCTGCAGAATGTTAGCATTTAAAAGTGAAATTCAACTTCGATATCTGCGTCCACAAAGTACGAACTGTTAACATCATAGAGGTTTTTAATTAAGGAAATTTGTCTTCTCGTCGGATTCTGAGTCGAACTAATTGTGTAGAATATAGCTCACTGTCCAACGGTAACATTCTTTCATGAGATGTCTAATTCGACTTATATTATAAGTCGATCCCCGACAGGCTAGTATCAATTCGAATATAAATAGATATCTATATAACCCTTATAACAAATGACTAGACAGGAATAGAAATAGATTTAGTTTTAGTTATGCATATATACCATCGCCAACACCCACCGCAGCACCCTCAATCGAGATATATTCCTGTCCACACCCACCCCGGCACCCTCAATCGAGATAGATATAAGCGAGGGTGTGGGGGTATGTATGCATAAGTAAAACTAAATCTATTTCTATTCTTATCTAGTCATTTGTTATAAGGGTTATATAGATATCTATTTATATTCGAATTGATACTAGCCTGTCGGGGGTCGACTTATAATATAAGTCGAATTAGGCATCTCATGC